TATTTTTATAAAAATAATTTTTATAAAATATTATTACAGTCTTTCTTCTCTATAATCACGCTGTTTGTTTTGGCAAAATTGGTGATTATAAAGGAGTGTAATTGTATAATATTTACTCTATATAGTCACATAAATATATAAAATACATATAGCATGACTATATAAAAGTAAATGCTTAATATTTTTTTAAATTCATATTTAATTTATTATTTTTTTCTATTTTTTTTTTAAAAAAAAAGGATTCAGATCAACTTCGTATACTTGGTTACAATTGTTAAACAGGTTTTGATATCAAAAAATGAAAAGAAGACTTTTGAATATTATATGAGAGTAGCTGAGTTAGAAAATCTGGCTGTGATGTAAAAGTCATAAAAATCATAAAAGTTGTAAAAGTTATAAAAGTGATATAGAACTTTTGATGATTAAAGATACTATTAGAGCCTTAGATAGTATCGTAATTAAAATTAGTATAAGTATTATAGTTAATATTAGTGATATAACACTAATAAAATGTATAGTTTATCTTAAGTAAAAGAAAATATATAATAAAGGCTTCTTGCCCTTGTAAAAACATATCCTTTGCAATTTACACAAAAATTTGTTCTCTAATAAATTTCATATCTGATATTCCACTAAATAAAATATATCCAACTCTAAGACTACTGCTTAAGTGGTATAAGCAGTTCAATCATTGTTACTTGTTCACATGATGAACATAAAGAGTACTGAAACTCTGTCCAGTTAATTCTCAACAAACTGAGAACTAGTGCTCTCTATTGAGCTGGCTCAAATAGGCTCAGAGAAATTTTGGTCTGGCTCGTTTTTGGCTTGAAAGGCTCGCAAGCCTTAGTACAGATCATGTGAAGTTTATCACATGACTTTCACATGATTTTGCATAACAAAATATTTGATTTGATAAAGATCACGTGAAAGTCACATGAAAGTCATGTAAAATAGTCATGTGATTTGTACTAAGGCTCACAAGCCTTTCAAGCCAAAAACAAGCCAGGCCAAAATTTCTCTGAGCCTATTTAAGCCAGTTCAATAGAGAGCACTACTGAGGACTGTTATGGTTTTTTAGCTATCTCATCATACTGTGAACTAGTTGTGGCTGTTTTCTAGTTTCTATAACAGACTGTGGAATCTGTAGTTTGTTAGTTCCAGTTTAGAGCTCAAGCAGAAGAACTCAAGCCGTGGTTTTGTTAGAATAGTTAACAATATAAGTGTTAGTATGCTATAAACCAAATTCTGCATAAATTTCAAAAAGAATACTTATATCCAAAATCACTTCATCCAAATCTAAACACCTCATTTCGACTAAGCCAAACATAGATTACACAAGGCTTTGAATTGTCAAGTAATAGACTCGCCATTTTAGGTTGTCAATATAAATACATATCTGGACTAGAGATCATGGTCAGACATTCATTTGATTGGCTAATGTAAATCAATTATCTGAATAATTTATTTATATACTTTAGAGTACTTTTTGAGATTGTAATGTTTCACTAATAAAAAATTACCTCAAAAGCTATTTTCGCTTTAAACAAATATCAGTATTCACTGAAAAAAATAATCTCAAAATAATCTAAAAACTAACAAACTTTACTTAGAAGACAAAATATACTACTATCTATTAGACTGTGTGAAATTATACTGTAGTGAAGGTAGCTTAAAACGTTTTTGTCTAAAACTTTTTTATTATGTTAGATTTAAGTAAATTTTTATTATTAATTGTTTAATTTGAGTAGGTACAAGCTTTTAGTAGTAGAAACCCAAGTTTAATATCTAAATTTGTTAGTTCTTGTAGTGTGTTTGGGTTGGTCAACTGTAAATCGAAGTTTTAGTTTATATCTCATAGATTCTTTTTAAATGAGTTTGGGTTTTTAGTAATAAATATTAAATTTACCCACTTTACATGTGTCTAACTACTCTCTAGAATATATATTATAAATTTTTTATGTGTATTTATTAGCTTATAAGCTTTTATATGAAGCTTTTTCTCTTTTTCTAAAAGTATTAAACAATAAATCTACTTTAAAAGTATGTATTTTGATTGGTTAATTATTATGGAAAATCATGGGTAGATTTACAAAAATCAGCCAATCATATGAATGTCTGCCCATGAAACTAGAGATGCATCAGCCCGGTCTGGTCCGGTCCCTAAGAGGACCATTACTGTCTGGTCCAGTCCAGTCCTTCGGTCCCATAACAGTAATTTTTACAGAGCAATTCCCAAAATTCCTGGTCGGATTTAGGTCAGCATTTAGCCCTAGTGGTTAGTAGGTTCTATAGCAAAATTATCAGCTAGGCACTTTTCACTTAATAAATAGCCACGATTTCATTAGTAAAATTCTTAGTGATTTTGGGCAAAATCTATCATTTCCGGCCCTGCCGAACAGGATTCCGATGCATTCTGACCAGGAATTTTGGGGATTTTCCTGTATGAGTTCATAACGGTGTGATGGAGAAGCGGAACACTTGGTACACTTTGTAAAAGGAATAGAGTTGATGTGATTCATAGTTTATTAGGATCGCAAAGTAGAATAGATAATACAAAAAAAAAAAAAAAAAAAAAAACTTTCTCTTTTCGAACGCTTAGATTAGATCGATCGAATCGTCACGTGGTCCACATGACCTACGTGATGTTTGATCGGGAACAGATCGTAGGCATGATTTCAGGAATGATAAGTGAATGATGTGAATATTAATAGCAAAGTCAGTCATACGATATTAGTAATGCATGAAATATGTTGTAATAAAGTAGAGTTTAATATTGCAAGAACAATGCATTAATTAATAGCGATTAGTAATCAATTGGAAGTTAAAATGTGTATGAGCAAAAAATGATGTAATTTGTGGTCACGAAAGAGTATGTATAAAATTGCAAGCAAAATAAAGAATTAATTAGTGCTTTTTCACAAAAATTGTCGTCCCATATATAGTAACATAATAATAAACTGAAGTGGTGCCCTTGTGCGGCCCATAAGTAATCACGTTGCCATACCTTTTGAGGTAGATCTTAGTAGCTTAGACTACTATTAACCCCTTTGTCAACGGTCCTTTAATGATTACGTCAATCTTAATGTATAAGATTTTATTGGCCAAAAATGACGTAATTATTTACCATCAGATGTAAAAAACATCATGTGATCTACATTATACCTGATCAAGAAATTTGTTTGGGTGATACAAACATCACAGTTATGTTTACAAGGACCGGTCCTTTAACGGTCCCACAGTCCTTACAGTCCCGGTCCCGGACCGGTCTTTTTCAGGACCGATGCAACCCAAAATCAGGACTTCACACATTTCACCTTCATATAGCATGTAATACTGCTTGTTTTGTGACCTGTTCTATTGCACAATTACAAATGTCATAACAAACAATAGTCAAAACATTGTTTTTAGTCATAAATATCAGTGGTCCAGTGCAAATTTCATACTCATTCACTGAATTTTTGGCATTCTTCATTTTTCATCGTAGGTTTTTTTACTGGGTTGGGTCGGAATGAAAAATATGAAATTGCAACTTTAATTTGTCGATCGTGCAAACAGACAAAAATAGCTAATGTAGTATTCTTATAAAGCCACTTTATACTCAGATCAATTAATGGTTGGTTTTACTTTTATTGCAAAACTTCCGCTCCTGATTTTGCGTGATGACGTCGCGCAGCTATATAGTTATTAATTGGTTCACATTTATTCTTACATAAGATTATGTAAGATGGTCTTAGAATTGTACGTACGTACGTTGTGAGGGGGCCCTACAACTTTGTTTTATTATTATTATTATTCATTTCGTATTACCCTTCTTTTTTTATACATACCACTATTTTATTTTGTTCTATTTTTATTCTACTCTATTACCGATATTGTTACTCGATTTAGAGAATAGGATTTGTACGATAGGTCTGTTTCGTTAGACTTAATCGCTTTAGTGACTTTAGTCACGATATTAGATTTAGCTACTTTATTCGAAATATTAGCTTTAGTAGCTTTATCCCTTTTTTCGAATATAGTCACTTTATGTAATTTCCTCACTAAATTCAATTTAATAGCTTTATTCTCTTTCGCCGCTAAATGTAACTTAAAACCTGTATTTCGATACCATTGAAAAAGTATAAAAGCAAAGATACTTCGCGCTGAAAATAAAGCAGAACTGTGAGTTGAGAACTCGAGTTGAGTAATACTTTGAATAGTAGAAGTACTCTAGTAGTTTGATACTTATCTATTCTTTGTTCCAACTAAAAACATCGATTAAGAAATATACCTTGATCCAGTTATAAAGTAATAAACCCGTGAGAGTCTTGACCTTTGAAATTCGAGTAAAAGAGTCGACTCTAAGTTCCCCTAATAGTAAAAACTTCGTCTCTAAATTCCCCGACCTCTGAAAAGTAGTTCAAAACTAAAGTACCGAATAGCCATTAAAACCCTTAAACATACCCTTATAATTCTCGTGACGTATTGTTAAAGCCTAAAAAGTATAACAATCGATCAATTAATTAAATTGATCTACGTGACATAATAACCCCGTGACACTAAGCCGAATTAAGCCTCCGATCTTCAGAATATTCTTACCCGTGACGTAAGAATCTCAGACCAAATTAAACTACCGAACACCGCAGTAGCATATAAGAAACTTTCACGTGACTCACGTGACAATCGTTAAGAATCTTAACGATTGTATCGAAGCCCGGAATTTGCCCAACTCAAAGTTTAAAGAAAAGGGACTATACATAATTCCGGCCAAAGCACAATAACAACCATTAGGAGTATAATTGGGTTTATACTTAGCTTTACCGCCAAATACACCGCAGCAAGACTCCACAAGACCTCGAGACTCGGACCAAGTCTCTCCACGCCTCTTTCTGCCTGCCGATTCGAAGTCTTTAGAGTCTTGGGATTGTAGAATTAGTTGTTTGAGTGTTTGAATTAGTCAGTTTTAGTCTTTAAACGTATTAGTCACACCTTTTCAACGTACATACGTACGTGCATGCATGAAATGTAGTACTTGCAAAGTTTATGCGCGATAAAAAAATCAAATATATATGTTAGCCGAAGTTACTCTTTTGATTGAAACATAACTACATACTGTATTGAAAATTATTTCAAATAATTACGCATGTACGCAAGTTGTTTTTTTTTTACAAAACAAGTTTCAATGTATTAATCTTTAATAATCGTTTTAAATTGCTTATTGACTCATAATTCTCTTTTATAGCCTTTTCATCATTCATTATTTTATTTCAAACTAAATGCCACTACACACGACAAGTACCGATGATACCAAAAGTGAAGAAGCAAACATGATAAACATGGTCTATAATTTTGACTGGTCATCGACTTCACTTGGCCCTATGGACTTATGGGAACCTGCTATCAAAACAGCTACGGTATTTTAAACACATATACAGTTAATTCTATAAAGAGCTAGCATAAAATTTGAATTTTTTTTAGTTTGCAACATTCGAAAGCTCGTTATATAGAGATTCTATATCAACTGCATTTATATTTTTTTGTGTTTATCTAACAAAATATAATATACAAAATATAATATACAAAATATAATATACAAAATCATGTTTGTTAATGTAGTGCATGTGCCTCAATTCTACGTTTCCCATCACTCTCATTCTCAGTCCCCCAGAATGGATCTTAATATATAATGATGGTAATATATTTCAGAATTTACTTTTTAATGAATAATTTACTTGTTTCGTCTATTTAGTTATTCAATTTGCTTTAATATCTAATCTACTTGTTTATAGCGTCTTCAGAACTTTTTCAAAATTTTCATCCAAACGGTTAATACAAATTAGTCTCATATATTTATCATAAATTTTACCAAAATAACACCCTTATAAAAATTAATAGCATTAGGGAAACCAATGAGAGATATTTTTAGCAAAACATTCTGTGATATCAATATTGCACCCTTAGAATGGTGAGTTGAGTAATTACTTAAATAAACTTTTATTAGTGACGTCTAAACATTTCGCAATATATTTAGTGTAAGAACGACTGGAAAAGGAAGGTTTAAAAAAGATGAATTTTTTGAAGTAAAGCGTGTTGGATATATTGAAGAGCGTTATCTTACCACTTCATATAGTCCAATTTTCAATTCCGATGGTACAGTCTGTGGTATATTAAATATTGTATAAGAAACCATTTTAAATACTAGAAGATTAAAGATACTGAACGAATTTGGAAAGCGGATTCCTGGTTAGTATTCATAATTATACTGTTTAATTATTAAGTTAGAAAATTTTCTGTTAACACATTTATATCGTCATATTATTTCTTGAAGAAATTGAATCTTTAGAAAGTGCCTGTCATATTATGACGAATGTATTAAGCAATAGCATAGATATTTCTTATGCAGTAATTTATTTTGTCGAACATAAATTAAATACTAATTTGGAATCGTTGGTCGCCCGTCTAATCTCCACGACCTTCGATAAAGTTTGTAAAGATGGAAGGCATGTTCCTGATTATTTACCAGAAACACCTGAGATAATTTATTTAGCCGAAAATGCTAATAAAAAATACGACACATACATAGAATTAAAACGGGGAACTGTAACTTTTTCATTTTTAAAATGTGAATCTTGGCCAATCCACCTTGTAATTAAAGAAGAAAGGCATGTAAAAGTTCTTTTAAAGGATTAATCTCGAGCTGTATTATTACCGACAAAGGTTTCACTTTGTGGAGAGAAATCATTATCAGCTGTGTTAATTTGTGGTGTTAATCGACTTAGCATAATCAATGAGAAATATATGGATTTTTTGAAAGTATGAAAACGGTTGCACAATTAATGTTCATTTGTTTATATAGAATACTCAAACACGCAAACTTTGTTAGCTAGTCACAAATAAATGAATACATATTTATTATGTGGGCAATCTATAGAAGAGGAAAAGAAACGGTCTAAAATATTGGCTGATTTAAATTATCAAAAAATGATATTTTTTCAAAACATTAGTAATGAACTAAAAAGTATTAATTATTATTAATTTGCCTTTTAGAAAATTTATTGCATGAATAGACTTATCATTATTATTAAATAATTAAAACCATTATTATTTTAGCACCATTAACCTTAATGCTTTCACCTCTTGATGACGTAATTACTGCTTGTCCGCAAGAGGCTCCAATAATGTCGTATCTTCAAACTATACGACGTAATGCTCGTCGATTACTCAAACTTATTAACGTTTTATTACAAGTAAGTTATAACAATTACTAAACCTAATTTTAGGACCTATTATATTTACTTCATTTCTTGCAAAGTTTTCAAATATAGAAACAAATCAATTAGAAGCGCGCTATCGTGAAACATAGCTGAATTTACTCGAGAATTAGCTTCAGGTTTTAAAAATATGGCTAAAACATTAGGCTTGCATTATAATATCGATATTCCACATCATGATGAATTAACTCAAGCAATAGGAGATAAAGTCTACTTGGATCATGATATGTATGAAACAATTGTTTTTAATCTTTGTAAGTGTTTTATAAGTTTTTCTACAGAACTACATTATTAAAACATGTATACTAAGTGACATGGTGAATACCGATACCCTTGTAATCGGTTCGTATGATATAGATCGGGTACATGTTGATGCATGAATGGCGTGATTAAATTAATTAAAAGTCTGTAATAATGATTGCATGAGCGATGGGAAAATATGTAATCATCAGTGACGCAAAATATGCATTAGTAATTAATATAAGGTATCGATCCCAAATGGGAACGTACCTAGCTTTTGAGCTTGAAGCTCCTTGAATTACCTGATAGTAAATAAACTGTATCTTGGTGATCATATAGTGTCGGTGGAAGTATCTGGTACGATACTCCAGTCAATCGTTTAATAACCAAGCGAGTGAAGTTTAATAGTAAAGACCCGCAAATACACGGTAGTTTAGGTAACTCCGTGACACTAAGGAATTTTTCTTGTTAAAGGTTCAAACGCATTAAAGCATACTTGGAATGGATCCATAACAATTCGTCTATATTCTGACTATAAAGATAATAAAAAAATGGTAGTTCTTGAAGTTTCAGATACAGGTCAATATTTTTTTTATTAACTTTATTACTCCATATAACTATTTAAAATACATACGTATCTCAAAACTGGATTACTACAACACATCCGGATTGTCTTTTTTTAAATCTAGGTATTGGTATTCCGGAGATTGCCTTTTCAGATATATTCCAGCGTTTTTATCGTGTAAAACCTCAAGGTTCACGTAGCCACGAAGGTACAGGAATAGGCCTGGCTCTCGTAAAAGAGTTTATTACGCGCCATGGTGGAGATATCACTGTGACTTCAATAGTAAATCGTGGATCTACGTTTAAATGTTGGTTTCCAATAGGGTGTAAACACTTATCAACAAATCAAATACACCTTAACAACGTGGAAACCCAAATAAACAATGATCGTGAAGTATACACTAACCGACAACTTTACTTAGAGGAAAGTTCTCAATGTATAAAAAATAGTACATCAAAAGCTCAATATGATATAATGGATCAAGGGTTAACCAATAATCAAGATATTAACAATAAAACAATGTTAACTGCAGATAATAGTAAAATATATCAAATTCTAATTTTTGATGATAATAATAATATGCGGTAATATATTTTATTTGTTAATTATATTTGGAATCTTGTAAATTTGTTTCTTACTATTAGCAACGTTTTATAGAGATTATTTAGTGGATCTGTTAAAAGAATTTGACGTGTACTGTGCTTGCGACGGCCAAGATGCTATTCAAGTCTTAAAAAGGCGCAATAAACTACCTGATTTAATACTTAGTGGCAAGTAAATTATAATCGTAGCGTCATTATTTACTATACATAAACGAATATTAAATCATACTGTATTATTTGAATTTTATAGATGTCATAATGCCAAATATGACTGGACATGAGTTATTAGATGTGTTAAGATCTGATGTGAAAACTCAACTGATTCCCGTAATATTGTTATCTGCACAAGCTGAAGATTCTAAAATTCAAGGTATTATAATTAGCTCTATGAAATTATTAGTAAGTAAGTTAAGTGCAGCTTATTTTATTCATTCTTTTTTATTTTTGCATTATATCTCTAGGTTTGAACAAAGGAGCAAATGATTATTTATTCAAACCATTTTCTTCTCGGGAACTAATTACCCGCATTCGCACTAATATTAAGCTCTCACATTTTCGGCATAAAATATTATTTCAACAATATAAACAAGAAGAATCAAAACAATTATTGATTTCAATATCAAGCAAGATCCTTTCCAAATTAAATCTAGATGAAACGCTATTTTATGTTGTTAAAGAAATCTATCGTAGATTGCCATGTGAAAGGACATTTATCATTTCAAATGAAAAATCCAAATCTAAAAGTAATAAAATAGTTGCATTATATGAAGGCTCTGAAAGTATAACGAACACATTTAGTAAAAATGAAAATGATTCACAATCATTTATCAAGTTGCGATATTTAGATAATGATTCGAGAGCAGATATTTGTTTGGATACATATTGTGCTAATGTTAATAAAAATATATCCGAATTATCTGTAGAATTAAAATTAAATGATAATTATTGGGGACAGATAAAAGTTCATAGACCTCCAAATTCTATTTGGCTCGATTCTGAAGTAGAGTTATTACAACAAATATCCAATCAAATAAGTTTAGCTATTACTTATTCCAAATTATCAGAGGAAAATGTTGAGAAAGAAATCCAATTAAAAGCTGCTGAAGTTGCAAGTTATACAAAGAGTCAAATTTTAGCAAATACATCTCATGGTATATTGTTGTTAGTATGCTGCTAAAATTTTTGGTTGATAATTCTAATTAATCTCATTCTTATTATAGAACTGCGAACACCACTAGGTGCAATCGTTGGTATTCTTTCCTGCTTTGAGGGTGCCACTTTAACAGCTAATCAAATGGATATCAGTCACACGATTTGTCACGCAGATCATGGGGGTAAATTTTTTCCTATGAAATTTGAGTGATCGACACTTATAATGA